TGCGTCCCTCATTCTTTCTCTTTCTGTCTCTTCTTTTTTCTTCACTCTGTCCTCTCCTTACTTCTTTATCGCTTTAAATAAAATTTTACGCCTAGACTAGCACAAGTATCCCCAAGGAAATAGGTTGCCGACATATTATTAATTTAACAGTTAATCAAAAATAAATTAGGAATAAATATTAAGTTCTATATATATTATTAATAATAAATGATATTTCGCTACCGATTTTATATGAAAACTCACTCTCTACCTGTCCACCTCATTATATTGCTCTCCCTCTCTCTCTCTCTCTCTTTCTATTTGCCTGTCTCTATCTCCTTCTCTCTGACTCTGCCTTACACTCTCTCCCTCCCCCAATCTCCGCTCTCTATATTGCCCCTCTATCTATCCGTCTCTCTCTCTCTTTCTCTCTGCATGCCTCTCTCACTACCTCACTCTCTCTCTCTCTCTATCTCTCTCTCTCTCTCTCTCCTTGCCTTCCTCTCTCACTACCTCTCTCTCTGTCTCTTACTCTTTTTCTATACCTCTTGCTTTGTCTGTCCCTCTCTCTCTCCTTCTCTCTCTCTCGCCCTCTTCCTTTTACTCTCTTCCTCTCACTCTCTCCATCCCTGCCCTATCTGCTTCCTTCTCTCTCCCCTCCTCTCCGTCTTCCTCTCCAACTCAAGTCCTCCCCGGAAGCAGCCTTTGCGATAGCCGTCCTTAACTTTATAGCAGTATTTATATTTAGCCAGTTACCTCATGACAGACTCCTAAGTAGACAGACCAGACCACAACAAAACATAGAATAGGCACGCTGCCAAGTTCCTCTATAGCCACTTGTTCAAGCAACCTGTTCATTAGCTACAAGAACTGTTTCTTTATTGCCTTGCCCCTGGCTCATTTGAAAGCGCTGGCCATAAATTAAGCACACACATGTAAATTAGATTCGAGTGTTGCTCGCATCGCTTGCCACACAAAGCTGCGTGTGTGTGGGTGTGTGTGTGTGTGGCAATAAAACACAATAGCGAAAAAAAAGGAGGACTGCAAAAGGGCAACAATTGCCACGGAAATGGCGCATTAGCGATTGCCACTTAATGTCGTCGCCAGTTGCTGTTCCAACTACTCCAACTAGAACTCCAACAACTCCTGCTGCGCCTCCTGCCAGCTAGCTTTACTTGTTGAGCTGACATTGGGGACTCACGCAATATGCAAATTTTGGCCATGTCTGCGCTTTGTCACGCATGGCGTGCCTCCACTCCCCCACTCTCGCCCTCCCACTCTCCCTCTCTCTCTCTTTCACTCATACTGTGTGGAATTCCCTTATGTGTTACTTAATTGGCTGGCACACACATCAATCGTAATTGGCTCAATTAGCTGCGCACAACTAATGAATACGAATGGCACTCAATATCCCTCAGCTATTATTCATAACTTCATGGTGCACTCACCCTTTGGCGGCGATGAATGGTAATAGAGTCCATGAAATCTGCGTCTACGCTTTGGTGGCATGCCTTCAAACAGTTACCGTTATCGTCTTGTGCCACAAATTTCGGAACAGCAAAACACTTAAAGTCCACGACTCTGCACATTGCTCCAGTCGCGATTCAAAGGACACATGTTTCCTTTTTCCTTTTTCCGCTTTGCTTTTATTTTACGTTGCTCACAAATTTTTCACAATTTATTTGTATTCATTTATATATAATTTTTATTGTAATTCTTTTTTATTTTATTTTGCTGTCCGTTCGCTCGTCCGTTGGCTTTGAAAGTTCAACGACGTCTGGCGCTCAGTTTTAGCTGTTGGTCAATACGCATTCAGTGTGAGTGTGTGTGTGTGTGCGTCTGTGTGTGTGTGTTGCGGTTACTCAACAATTGCCAATGCTCAGCTCAGGCTTTTGTCGTTCATTTGGCCAATTGCAGTGCGCGAATCGCGTGCCATTGCATTAAATATGAATGGCCGGAACACTTGTATGGGGGCGTATGCCATATGTAAACATGCTCAGCCTAGTTTTAAAGCCACTAGATAGCTGAGTGCACAGAGGCGGGCATGCAGGACGTAGGACGAGATCTAGCAAAGACAAACTTTGAAGGAGGCGCCAGCGCTACATAAATCATAAATCTATAGAGAAATCGAAATAATTTTTATAATTTTGCAAGGCATAAAATTATATATACCCCATACAGAACTCAATAGAATTCCTGCTCACATTTTATATTATTTTGTGAAATATATAAGACTAATACATGTAGGTATAATAATTGTTATTTAGAATTCATTTTTGGTAACAATTAATAAATAAATGTACATATATCATTCTCGAAATGAAATGCTGTTGCTTATATACGTTTTATAAAAATTTAATAATCATTGTTTTAAAGCTAAATAAAAAAAATCAAAAATATATAATATTAGCTTACAAAGAATTTTTAAAATTAAACTCTGAGCTGTTTTAAAGCTAAATAAAAAAAATCAAACATAAATAATATTAGCTTACAAAAAACTCTAAAAATTAAACTGTGAACTGGACACAGCCAGAAAAAATATTGATATAGTATAAAAAATGAAACTGCTTTAAGTTATAAGAACTTTCAATCATTTTTCATAAATATAAAATTACATGTTTATCCTCTTCACTTCATAATAATAAATTTTTTTAAAAATTATTTTATTATGTGTAGAACCGGGTTTTTTTAAATTAATTTTTTTAAGTGTAGAACCAATTTTTTTTTTTTTTTTTTTTTTTTTTTTTTTTTTTTTTTTTTTTTTTTTTTTTTTGATTTTATTTAAGCGTTGAACCTGTACATGCAAATATAGTACTTTAACAACACAGTTGGGATATTATATTAGAGCCTAACCTTCTGATGATTCAGGAGGACTTAC